TATCAATATATAATAATATATATTATGATAAATAATAATTATTTTCACTTTTAACAGCCAACAACCCAATACTGCTCTTTTTAACATTTTTTTTAAAATGTTCCAAAATTGTTTAAATAATTTGGAATTAATATTGGGTGATTGTCATGAAAAAATCGATAAAAATAAATAATATTTAAAAAAAGGCGACCTTCGAGATTGTTAAGACCCAAGTAATCTTAAGATCTTTTGGGTCGAATTTATTATTTTTTGGTAAATCGGCATTTTACTTTCCTCTTTACCAAATAACAAAAAAAATATTTTCAAATAATTCACATTTTTTTCTAAATTTACACGTTTTTGAATTAATTATATATAATCATTATCAACCATAACAGATCTTGTAATCATTTTTAACGTAACATTGTTATCAACACAATTAAACGTTCAAATAAACAAAAAAATAAAAATACAACAGTGTTGATACTATAGTAATTCTCAAATTAAATATTTATTTAAATAATTGTTGTTTATTATATTGATTTTATCGATTGTAAATAATAACTTTTGTGTAATAATTATGATATACATTAAAACAAAAATAAACAATTATAATCAAGTTCATTGTGTAACTACGTCGATGTGCACAATTTTCATTCAACAACTTTTTGTTGATAATAACATGTAAAAGAGTTGTTATATCCAATTATTCTTTTATAACTATCGTTTTATTATTGTTCATATAAAAAGACATAATTAAACATATATATTAGTAACACCACAACATTTATTATTATATATAATAGAAACATGTTTTGATTATTAATTGTAATAATTCAATAACAATAGATAATGTATTAGGTTTCACTGTTAATCACATCATTTCCATTTTTATAAAATGTCAAAAAATTAAATGTGAAATTATTTAGTGTGTAAACATGTAACATCAAACCTGAACTCGAAATCATTACACTAAAATTATTAGAATTGCACAGTTAAGAACATTTTTTGCTTTAAATTTGTTGCTCTCTCACGTATATACATAAGATATAAAAAATAAATATTTTATCATTAAAGAGTAAAATCAGACAATACAAATTATAAAATTGATTCCAGTTTTTTATGTGGAGATTAAATTGGTCATTTCAACGAAAAATGAATACACTTTCATAGTTATTTCAAAAATTAATTCTTTACACATTAATTTCTTATAACAATTTATTCTTTGCATCTTATATAACAATGAATTAAAACATAAATGTTAGTCTCTTTGGATTAAAAATACGATGCACATATTATCTAAGCAATACACAAACATTAAATATCAATTAATTGCTTTCAAAATGAATTATATTAATATTGTAGAAAAAAATATTTTTAATTGAATTTATAAAATATATATATAAAATCGTATATAAGTGACAACACCGATGTAATTAAAAAAATAAATTTGTTTATTATCAACATTTTCAATTTGTTTATATGTATATTTGATTATTTATCATAAAAAACTTCACTTGGTTGCCAGAAATTTTAACCAGTAAATATATAATTTATTTATTCATAACATGTACACAATGGTGTGAACCACAAATCGTTAAAAAACCATTCACATTCTTTTTAAACAATAATAATTTTGTTATTGTTTAGTTTGAAATTATCTGTTTACACACTCAAAAAGTTTTCATTTTTGATGAATTAATTCAGTTTTACAATGAACATGTAAAGTATAAAAGTGAATCATTTTATATTAATCATTATAATAAATTCATTAAAAAGTAACTGTATAATCATGTTATTATTCCACTATTCAATAATGGTTGTGATGTCATTTTAATAATTGTGTTATTTAAGTGTGTAATTAGAAAGAATAAATTAAAAAGATAATATATTCAATAACGTTATTTACATGTTATTATCAACAGTGAGTTATTTGAAAATAATCTTTTTTATGTAGTTACACAATGATAATGGGTACACTTGGTTAGAAATATAAAGAAATATTTAATTATCAAAATATGTCG